AGGGCATTTTTCCGACGTCTATCGATATTTTTAGAAATATTCGTATACACACATGCACTCTTTATCTTTTCTCTTACCTTATATATATTCAAATGTTCCAAGTGAACATATTTACATAGGCTCAAATGTTCCGAGAATTCACTGAAATCTACAGCCATATAAACAATTATTAAAAAAAATTAAATAATTATTTTCTAAATATATGAATGTAATAAAAACATAGCTATATGCGAATGCAACATTGCGTCAAAATTTCAAAACAATCGGTAAGGTACTTTTGGAAATTACCGATTAGACACAAACGAAATCTACATTTATATATATACAATATATATGGGTCGGGGTCAAAAGTGGCCGATTTGTCGTGGAATGCCCCATATATATATATATATATATATATATATATATATATATATATATATATATATAGATTAAAGAAATAATAAATATCATTTACAATTAAATGAGTGAGATCATTTTGGAACAGTGCATTTGTTATTAACTGCAGAGAGATGATAAAAGTTGTTAAGGGGTTACCCCTACTTGTAACGCAAAAAAAAGGCCTTTTTCATGAATTTTTTTAAAGAAAACTATAGAACTTTTTAATTGATTAATATACCATCTTAAAGTACACATCTTGGAGAACTTTTTAGTAATTTTTTAATTGAAAAATAATACATTATTAAGTGGTAAATGACAGTCGAATGAATGATGTTTTTTTTTAGGCGGTTTGCGGTGATCAACATTGCGGTAACCCCTTAAAGGAAAATTACTCAAAATCGTAAGAAAGAGAATAATAATGATAACATATCGTCGTAATGTACATTTCATGACAAGTAAACATACAAAATATATGATGATGTGTCAATTCTTCTTTAAAGATAAGATTCATGATAAAAAAATGATAAAAATTATTATGATAAGAAAGTCGTGTAAATGAAATAATTCTCAGAAAGATTAGTGCGCTTACGGATGCTGTGTTAACAATTTATTGAATTTAATTTATAGTTAACTTAAATCATTTCAATCAATTTTGCTGTTTTTACTATCATTTGTTTCTTTTATTTTTTTTCTATTGGTACACGTATAATTAAAACGAAAATACAATGTTTCTTAGTATGGAAGTAATATGTTTTATATTAGCGAGTTTATTATTTTTGTATTATTATCTCAATCGGACATTTGATTATTGGAAAATTCGAGGTGTAAAAGGACCAAATCCTATATTAATTTTTGGTACTATAAAAGATGTGATGTTTGCTAAAATATCCTTAAGTATATATCTCAAGAATTTGTATAATAAATATAAGGACGACCAAATGTTTGGTATTTTTGAAAAGGATATACCATCATTAGTTCTACGCGATCCCGATCTCATAAAAGATGTGATTATTAAGGACTTTTCCATATTTTCTGAACGACCGGTCTTCTGTAATGAAAAAGTAAGTCAATCTAGAAATTTCATATTTCATAAACTCGAACACTCGAAACAAAATAAGAAATGTGATAGTAATAATAATAAGTTTAAATTGTTAAATTTATTAAAAATATTTGATTATATTTTGAAGACCAATAGCGATAGTGTATCGAATTTAAGTTATAAAGTGGAGTGAAATTCTTTTGTGCACAACTTTTATAAATTTTAATATGTCTGTAACAATAAATTATATATATTTGTTATTTATATTATGTAAATTTCATAATAAAAGACAACCTTGAATTATAATTTTATGAGAAAATAAATGTTTTTTGAACAAAATGTTGAAAATACTAATTAAAAAACATTTTAAATTATTGTCTGCGGTTATCATTCACGTATATTTATGTGGCATATGTATATGTATAATCTAAAAGTTATTTCCTTTTTGACAAAGTTCAAAACTAGAAAAAGGTTTTTCTTTGCCTTCTTTTTCTTTTTTTTAGTGCGAACCCATGACGGGTCACCTCTTCAGGATAGGAGCAGCTAAATGGCGACCGTTAAGAACAAAGTTAACGCAAGTCTTTACAAGCGGAAAGTTGAAAAACATGTTTCACTTGTTACTAGAGTGTGGCGAACATTTCGAGAAGCATTTAAAGTGTATTGTTGAAAAAAACGAGCCAATAGAGTGTCGAGATCTTATGGCCAGGTATACCACTGATGTCATTGGTTCTTGTGCTTTTGGTCTTAATATTAAAGCTATTAACGATGATAAAAATGATTTTCGTAAAATGGGAAAGAGGATTTTTCGTAATGATTTAAAAACTTATATAAAGGAACTAGTTAGAAATACTCCGTGGCTTTATAATATTATTGGCCGATTATTAGTTGATTTAGACGTAGAAAAATTTTTCACACGGATTACCAGGGACATGATAGATTATAGAAAAAGAAATAATATTCGTAGACATGATTTTATGGATGTTCTGACGGATTTAAAGGATCTGAAAAGAATCGGAGATATTGGTATGATTTTCTTGAATTTACTATTTATTATTTTTCTCATATAAATAATATTTTATTTGTTTTTAAGCTTAAACACGCTTTTACATGTATCCTTAAATACGAAAATATATTTAAATATTTGATTATTATTTCTAGAACTCACCGATAGTATTCTTGCTGCTCAAGCTTTAGTATTCTTTGCTGCTGGATTTGAGACATCTTCGGTTACGTTATGCAATGTCATGTACGAATTGGCTATGAATCATTCAATACAAACGAAACTTCGAAAAGAGATCAAAGAAGTGCTTCAATCTACTGATGGAAAGATTACTTACGATTGTTTAAAGGGAATGAAATATTTGCATGCTGTTTTAGAAGGTACATACGTTTCTTGTAAAATGATACTTATGATGTACAACATTTCTTTTTTTTTCTTTTATTATAATTAATTCTATACATATTTTTATGAAACCAAAATTCGTTTTTTATCTCGAAAAGTAACAACTTCTGTTAACTGAACATTATTTATATTTTTATGTGCTAACACGTACTTCAGGCTTGTAAATTTTTAAAAAATCTTTTTTGTAATATCATTTAATATATACATAATTATAATTATGTATTACAGAAACTTTAAGGATATACCCACCAGTGATGTATCTCGTTAGAGGGTCATTAAAGGATTATACGTTTAACGGTACTAATGTTACGATCTCGAAAGGTACAAAAGTTTTCATACCGATTTACGGAATCCAACATGATCCAGACATTTATCCCGATCCTGAAGTTTTCGATCCTGACAGATTTACGGACGAAGTTACGAAATCAAGACATCCCATGCATTTCCTACCATTCGGAGATGGTCCTAGAAATTGTATTGGTAAGAGAAAATATTGTTTATTAAATAATTTTTGTTATTAATTGGAACTATGATATATTTATATAATTATGCATGATTATGAATTTATTATATATAATATAATAATTAATTTTTTGTTAAATGATATAAATTTTATTAATATTACATAATAATATATAATACTTTTATAATCAATATAAATAGAAATAAATATAATAGTAAGTATATATTTATACAATATAGTAGAATCTCTAGTATACGAAATAATAGGGAAACATAACTGTTCGGATGAGGGAATAAAATGATTGTAAACTTGTATTTAGAGAAAATAATACAATAATGAGAAAATATTAAAGTCGAGCACATAAGGGTATAATAAAAAATATAATAAAGTAATAAGAAAAAAAAAATTATGGAAAGGATGTACTGCGTTGCTGAGTATTTCTTTTGATAGTAAATGATGCAAGAAGGAAAGTGTATTATAGTGTTCGCATAATAGACCGTTTCGATAGCGAGGCACGCGAATATTAGAACGTTATCGTAAAATTGTTGGATACTAGAGGTTCTAATGTAATAAATTATTGAAAAATAATAATAACGACTTATTACAGGTCTACGTTTGGCGTATCTTCAAATGAAAATAGGTCTGATAAAAGTTCTTAACAATTATGTAATTGACGTTTGCGAGAAAACACCAATGCGACCGTATCCTTTGAATATGCAGGATGGTATGATGCTCCAACCAACGTGTGGTATCTACGTTAAATTTTCACCCATTACCACATCCTGATGTATTATGCACAAAATTATACCGTCATTTGTGATTAATAATACTCTTACACTCTTATCGTTAACATTGATATTAAATGCGAAATTATAACTATGAAGCAGATTAGAATGATATTATAATTGTGATCATACACAATTATAATCGACCTTAATTTGTTACAATATTCTTATTTTGTCAATTTATTAATGACAATCTACGTAATAAACAATCAAACCATACTATCTACCTATAGAATACAGTTATTATTTAAAAAAACATATATAAATTTTTAGTTATTATATACTTTATAATAATCTAAAATAAGTTGTACATGAAATGGATCACAAATATTTCTCTAAAATAATTTATTTGATACAGAAATCATATATAAAAAAATATGAATACATTAAAGATAAATATCATAGATAGAAAATATCTATATTTAGAGTGTAGCGACATAGGGTAAAAAAACAAAAGGTGCTTTTTTCCTATTTTCTTTGTTTTTTTCTTTAACGTTTATCCAGGTAGACGATCGTTTCATAAGATGGTCAAGAAAAGAGTTTGTTCGTCCGGGTCGAAGAATGTGGCTATGGTTGGGTGGTAATTTTCACGTACGTATCCATGAGTTCGTTGTATTAGTGCGCGGCTCGATGGCCGGCCGAGGTAGAGGAAAAGTGATCGGACGAATACTTTGAGCGGCCGTCGGAGGGCGACGGAGTCGCACGATTCGTGCCGAGCCGAGCCGAAAGCTTGTGGCCCCTGTCAGTAGGCCTGCCGCAACGCAGCAGTAAGCGCGCCTTCCATCTTGTGCAGGGGTTTAACGCTATTCGGAATCTCTTTCTCATTCGAATTTTATTTTTTTTTCTTCTGTTTTCAATTATTATTACTATTGTTATTATTAGTAGTAATAGTATTATTATTGTTAATATTATTTTATTGTTATTATTACGTTCAATTTTTTATTTTACATTTCGTAAGAAGTGTTTAATGTTTTCCGAACGATATAATATCAATTCTATACTAATATAAGTGGACAGAAAAAAAGAGAAGACGATTCAAATGAAAATAAAAAAAAAGGAACTATTGATCTTATTTCCAAACGTTTTTACGAAAATTGTTTCGTTTCTTTCATAATGAACAATATTCTTATAATATATATCGAATGAAAGGATATTACAATATCGTTGATTTTATCGTATAGTGGAAGTTAATTATCGCCGATATACGGATGTTGACAATTTTTTTTTTGGATAATGAAATGATTTCTATTAAATAATTGAGATCGAACAAAAGTGGTTGAAAGATAAGAACGTTTTGAGAAAAGTGGAAAAAAAAATAAAGGAAAAATAGTGAAACGGAAGAAGGATCGAAGAGAGACGTCGGAAGAGGAGAGTCGTTGAATAGTGCAAGATATCCTTGTAGGAGAGAACGTGTGTGGGATGTAATCGATGTCGCGATAAAACTCGTGTATAATACGAAGATATACGAGTATAGAAAGGGCATCGATATGACGTTGTCTCGTTGGCAGTCGAGGTGTTGCAGGAGTATCATCCATTGGTTTCCGATTTTTACAGGTTGCTCGTAAATCGGCCTATTACGTCATTATCGTTAGACGATGACGGAAACTCGTTGGCGCATATGATAAGTTTACGGATATATATAAAGGGTCGTCGATCGTTCGAGCGTGTACGGATATACTATATAAGGGATAGGATCGTTCGATCGAGTAAGTCCATTAACGTCGCGGCAATGACGATACGTCGAAGCATAAATAGACGGGTTGCTGTCGTCTTATGGTGAAAATGAACGATCGTTCCAGCGAGGAAGAGAGGAAAAGGGAGGACAACGACATTGTTGTAAGAAAGAAAGAAAGACAGATAGATATATTAGTTTTATTTTCCTATTCTCTCGTTCCATGAATGAAGAATCAAGAAAATCTTATCAGAAGATAAATTCCAAAGTTTGAAATCAACAATAATTATCTTACGTGAGAAACTCTTTTACATCAAATCGAATAAAGCTTTTGGTATTGGTACGTGTCCTATTATTATGATGTGTCATACGTGTGTGCGTTAGTTTAAGTGATAACGAAGTAGGAAGAGGGAAGGATCTGAATTTCGGATTATCGGAAGACCTGACTCATTGAAACTCGACTTAGCCAGGTACTTCGGGAGAAGTTATATCTTCCTTGGAACGGTAAAGAGGCTGATATTTGAACGAGAACGCCAGACAGACGGGTTGATAGAGATAAAGATAAATTCGTCTATTCAGTTATAGCAACGCAGAATGCTCAGGAGAATGCTTTTACTGATGAGCGTTTTCGCTCGGTTTGCCGTTGCGGAAGTTGTCCTCAGCGACGTCGACGAACCCAGTAAGTCCTTTAAACTACGTATAACCGTTCTATCCTCGTTTCTACTTTGGAAAATGAATAATATGTCTATACGTATATACGTAACTTATACGTATGTACGTATTTTCTATATCTATATAGCATCGTATGCAAGTATATTGTCATTGAGTAGTTTTCAGTATGTTAACGACTTTCTGCGAACGATTTCAAACTTTCTTACGATTATCTTTACTTTAGATCGAAACTTTTTTCATTCCCTTTATTGTTTCACCAACGAAATCTTTAATGTTAGAATATTTTTAAAGCTTTAAGTTTTACCTATTTTAAATTAAATATTAAGGATTAAATTAGACGTTTCTGAAGTTAACGAAGTATTTCAAAATTGTTAAAAAATAATAATGAAAAGTTTGTAATCCGATTCGATAGATTTACTGTATAGATATAGAAAAAGGGAGAGAGAAAAAGAGAAAAATCTGTGAACAATATTTTCCCAAGGATGACATCCAGACAGATTAAAACGTATTGTCGTTTTTCATCGTTGACATTCTATTTTGTGGATTTTCCAACACAATTAGTTTTAAAATAATTCAAACAACAATTCAAACGAATTTCTAGGAGATTGGTATGAGTTCGTATAAATCGTGTTAATTGACTCAGTTAATTGTACAATTCTTGTAATTAATTTACATACGTTTTACATATCTTACATTTTTGTTTTTTAAATTTATATACGACAAGAGATGATTTCTTTATAGCGTGAATGATACTATGACACAATAAATATTCCAACGATAAACGATTTAATCTTGAAATATCGATCGTTATTACGGTTTAATGTTTTCGAGCACTTTTTTCGTAATATGATACATCGCTTGGCAGCATTTTTACGCGTCGCTCGTTGCTTCTCGATGTGAAGTAAAAAAAAAGGAAAAAGAACGAAAAAAAAGAAAAATGAGGAAGGGCGTGGGTACTTTCAAAAGAGAAAAAAAAGCGAAAGAGAGAAATAGAGAGAGAGAGAGAGAGAGAGAGAAAGAGAGAGGGAAAGCGTTTATCTAAAAACATGTGTAAAATAGAACAAGCTCGGATTAACAGAACCTTCGCTCATTTATCGTTGGCAAAGGTAAAAATCGTGCTTTTCATGTTACGCTTTGTCTTTGCTTTTTCAAGAATGGGTTAGTGTCGAAGAATGAACAAATCCACGCTCTTTAGTACAATTTATCATTCTTTGTGATGTTTATTTACGATTCGTGTGATGTATTACGTGATCAAATTTTGTCGTTTCTTCGAAGGTTAATATTATAATATTAGCTTTTAATTGACATAACAATTAGTAGGGTCGATTGGTGTTCTTTTGTTTAGATTTTCGTTGCAATTATATGTTCGTTAATGCAAGTATTTTTTCATTTTTATGAATGGAATATGGTTGTAAATTTATTGAAAAATTTTTCGAAATATTTTACAGGAGTAATATTGATATGAGAAGCAAACTCTGAAAAGCAGAAATATCCTTTTTCTCTTTGTCTCTCTTTCTCTGTCTGTTATTCCTTCTTTTGGATTGCACTAAAATTTGGCAGGTTAATTTAATGATTTTAATCGGTCAACGATGTGAAAAGCAGTGTTGTTGAATGTCAATCATTATTAATTATATTTAGGGGTAATGTGTAATTTATTATATATACAAGATATCCAAACATTATCTATGCAAGTTTATCATTTAATGAAATATCTGATGGCACGTGTAGGATTATTAAACAAGAATTTAGGGGATATATATATTTCCCACATAATTAATTTTACTACAGTAACGATGTTACGAATATTTGATATGTATGCACTATTAGTGATTAGCACAATATCTAGTTAGTATTTAAATATTGACACCTAGACTACATTATTCTATGTTAATTTTTTAGATATTAGTTGTGATTTTTGTCTTTTAATTATGTATTATATGGAAGGATTTCGGTGAATCGACATTGATCTCATATACTTATTTGAAAATATTGTAACACTTTGTTTTTCAGCAACGGGAATATGTAATTATTCATCATATTTCAACAAGATGGTGCATCGTTGCATTAAGTCTTGAACGTTCGCAAGTTTTTAAATAAAACATTTTCAAACAGATGAATTTTTAATGTAATTTATGTGACCGATTAGATCCTTCCATATCATGCTTCGTACTTTTTATTGAAGATAATTTTCGGCAGATAATTTATGTATATTATAATATTATAATAGTCCAAAAATAAATATTCGTTAAAATCATAAAAACAAATGAAAATTAATATCAGTGAAAGAATCAAATGAATAAATGAATAAATATTTGAAAGAATTTAATATAAAAAGTAGTTATATTTATTATGAATTTGAAATATGAAAATAACTAAAATGTGTACGTGTGTCCGTGAACAATCGAATCAATTATGCTCATCAATAATGATCTAACGTAATATACAGAACGTTCACAAATTCTATACAAGCGTTATCAACATCAAGAGTAAAAGAAGACACGGCGCTTATTAATTTTGACGCTACCTAAAACGCGAATGGCATGGAGAATTCGGTTGTCAATAATTGTTTTGCGGTGTGTTCGCGTGTACGGCAGTCACGACTCGAGCCCGTACTCGACGACATCGGACAGGACCACAACCCGTTTATTTAATCGATGCATTATGCAAATTGACATAACGGCTCCACCTCGGATCCGGTAATCGACCAGTGTCTCTACGGATTCGCAATAGGTATATGACGTATATGTCGAATAATTACCAATAACGGTTCATAAAAGAAAAATCATACAAGTCTTTTAAAGTTTCCCATTATTATTATTATTATTATTATTATTATTATTATTATTATTATTATTATTATTATTATTATTATTATTATTATTATTTATTATTTTTCATACTTCCTCCCTCTCTCTCTCTCTCTATCTGAACTTCTTTTCAGAGGGTGCAAAGTTGGGATAAGAAATCTAGCTAATCTCAAAAGCATTATCATTTTGCGCGAATCGTGAGAAGAACGCGAAACTTCTTGACAGTTATACGGGAATCGTAATTACGAGCTAGTTTTTCGCACGCAATGGGTCGGTCGTTGCCGTGGAGTCCTAAATTCAACCGAGAGGAGAAAAATGAATAGAGTTATCGTTAATAGGCACGCGAATCTCGAACGTGAAAGACGTTAAAGTCGAGTCGAGTTGAGTAGCCGAATTCTCTTATTGGGGTGTCGACGATATAAATAGATTTTTGCTCGAACTAATATCGATGATGTTCGAATTAATGTTTTTTTAGAGTTTAATCTCTCAAAGAGATTAAGAAAAAGAAAAAGCAATGGTTTATTTTTAACTTTTAGTTTTATCGCGAGATATCTTATTTTCTTCTAAATAAAAATATAAGATATATCTTATATAAAATCCCTATATTATTATTATTCATTTATACAATAATATCGAATTTTCATAGATTATAAATTCATTAAACTAATTTGCAAATGTTAATTAGTTAATTAAAGTTTATAAACAAAATTGGATATAGTTTACAAACACGTAACCTTCGTATAAGGAAAGATTCCCTGAGGAAATTCTTACTCGAAATATCGTTATATTTTCTATACGAACGATCGATTTTATCTCGCGTTGGGATTAGATGAGACGTTTCGTAGTTCATAAAGTATAAAATGCGCTATACCACTATGATCGTCCCCTTTCTCCCTCTCTCTCTCTCTCTCTCTCTCTCTCGACAAAAAAATAAAAGTGTAATCGCGAGAGCATACAAGTTTGTAAGGAGGGAGAAAGAAAGAGAAAAAGATAGTCAAGATGGAAGGGGCAGACGATGTTTCATAAGAGAGAAAAGGAAAGACGATCCCTTGGGATATCATTCTCGTTTATATAGCCGTGGGCTTTACTAGTAAGAGAGAGATGGAGAACAAAAAAATGGGTTTCAACGTCCAATGCGAGATACGCGGTAACGATCGGTGATTCGAGATAGCCGGAAACTTCGCGTAGCTCGAGCTTCCGGGCATACGATGTCGTCTCTCTTTCTCTTTCTCTTTCTTTTTCTTTTTCTTTTTCTTGTTCTATTTTTCTTTTTTTCTCCGATATATGTCGGTGGTTTACCTGTATATTCATGATATCAGAGCTTTTTACATTCTGTGTATGTGAGAAACGTTACGTTATTGTCCACCCTCTCAACTCTCAAAACTCGTTTGTAAAACGAATTGAATTGACATAAAGAAAACGGCCATTTTTCATTCAAACGTAGGACCCTCTTCTTCCATAACGATGGCGAAAGAAATTGGTGTCGTTGTCCATTACATTTAAGACGATTCGTTGATATTAATTACTTTTTAATCGAGAAAGATTTACAATTAGATGAAACAAAAGAAAAAAGTAAAAAAAAAGAAAAGAAAAGAGAGAGAGAGAGAGAGAGAGAGAATGGGAAAGAAGAAGAAATATGAATACCTAAAAATTGACGGAGGAAAAAGATAAAAAAGAAAAAAAAATTCAAATTTGGTAAACATATAACATCGTCTTTCGCCCGTCTTCTCGTTTTCAGCTCATCGCACTTTTGTTTCACGCGTACGTAGATGTATCTACTCTTGATGCAATGTCGTAACATTTTCCATTTATAAAATAAAGTCGTGCGAGCGTCATCCTTCTTTAGCAGTAGCTGCCAGAGCACGACCAAAGTTTTCGATTCGCATGGGAAACTATTCGATCCGATTTCCCTCGTCGCACGTGCTTCACGTAGATTCTTTCTATCTGCTATTCTAATACCAGAGAACGAGGAATATTCTCTTTCTCTTTCGACTATTCCTTTTGGATTTCGGATAGCTTGTCGGCACGTTTCCTACATTCGGGTGTATTTCATCTGCTTTTATTATAATATATTGTCTATAAGATTATTGTACGATAAATTCTTTATCATTTTCATTTGTATCATTCGTTATATGTCAAATTTGTTGGCATATTTTGGATAATATGATAATTAACGACGACGTACTATAATAATTAATGA